TGTCCTGTTTAGGGTTGTGAGAGGCAGTAACCATTATACCAGCACACAGACCCAAATGTGAGACGGTAAATGGCTGTAACAAAAAAACAAAACAAAAAAAACCCATATGTATAAAAAATAAAAATGAGAGTTATGATGAAAAAATACAATCTAGATAAACATAAAATTTGTCTGGATTTTTATTGTCAGTGTAAAGAATGCTTAGTCAATCATACATGTATTATGCAACATTTTTTGTGTGTGTCTGGAATTTGCCCTGTAGTTTCAGCCCAATGAATTCCCAACATTAACACCATGATGAACATTTTTGAATGATGGGAATAAAATAAACTGAGCTAACTAACTACAATAATTATTTTTGAAATGTTTCTTTTAACATTTGCACCACAGTTTTTTCTTTTAGCATTACTTACCACAAATGGTGTGGGGGTGATGTCAGAGAACAGGTGGACGGGCACTCCTCGACTGATGAATACAGCTGCAGCTAGACTGGCAAAACGTTTACTGCTGCCACCACTGGGAGGATGGGCACGAGCATCGTAACCAATCACAACCCCTCGCTCTTTCAGATTCTCAAAGCTCCCCTCAAGATACTGACAGAAGCCCTGCAAAACAGTTGATGTTTAAAAAAAGACCATGATGATGATGTCTTTTTTTTTGTGTGTGTGAAACTGCTATTCTGCAATAATTAGTAGCACATATAAAGACCTCTGCATGAAGCACATTACTGATGTCAAGTACAAGAATCTGCAATAGCATGATTTCACATGTGACTCAAATACCTAATCTGGTACAGCTATGCATTCATTTACCAACCTGTGTGGTTTGGATGATAGTCAAATCATTCATACAGGATATGCCAGGGCCCATCGCTGCCCTCAGCCCTGCCGTACCAAACTCCATCCGAGAAGAGAAACATTTCTTAAGTGCCTCCAAATTTCCCTTATTCACCATCTCCTGAATCAGGGCAGCAGTCTTAGGGTTCTACAAACACAGCAATGCACTGGTGACATTTAGTCAGACATTGTACGTGTATGTTTTAAATATTACATGTTGAAAAATATAATTTTTAGGTGTTTGTCATAATTATATTAAGTGGTTCCCTATGACAGTCTCTGGGCAGCCATTAAAAAGAAGACCCAATTTGATTATCCCAGAACTAATAAATCTGATTCCCTGGACCAATGTGACCTGATTGGCAGCGTGGTCTGTCTCTTTAAGTTTATGAGTGACTGTGTGTGCAGTGACCAGATGTCTAATAAGCTTATACACCACGTTACTAACTTCACTTGCATAATTTAGATGTTTTAACTAGCACAGACTACAGGGCTATGCGGGAAACAAAGCATTACTCGCTATTATGAAGTTATGTGTCAACAGATAGACGCAGGACTAATGAAACGTGGCTTAAATTAGTCTTATGTCTGTATTACATAAAGGCCAAGTTAGAGAGAGACCAGGTGAGACTTAAAACATGCAATAAGAAAAATAACTGAGGCTCAAGAGAGTGTATATAAAGACGAAGCAATACTCTAAAACCACAGATGAATAATAGCTCTCCTGCTAGTTTGTCTACACATTATGTCAACTCATGATCCATTAGGAAACTCCATCATCAGAGCTGTCACGCAGACGCACATCTCACCTTGTCAAGCAGTAGCCATTGCCTCACAGCAGAATCCAGTTTAGTGTCGCCAATCGCGGGGACGCCGTTCTCCATCTTTGCTCCGGGGCCTTGGTTACAGTTAGAGTTACAGTTCGCGGTCAACCGAGGTCTACACAGAAACACCGCTCATATAGTTCCCTTAAAATGTTAAAGTGATGTCCACAGATTATGATGTCCACACTTGCACCTCCTCCGCACTACCGGGCGGCGTTTCCAGCGTTGAGGTGACTCTGCGTCCTGACGTTCTGCGTGCGTCACGTGTGATCCTGCTGCCTTCACGTACCGAGTAAAGTTTAGGTCTGCCTGAAAATCATGTGTACACGATTCCCATAGAACTATAATAAATATTTTTATTATAGATCCATGATGTTACCCTGTTAACGCTGTCATTTCAACATTTTGCTTAAACATAGATCATCTTTATTATTAATAATAATAGTATATTTATTGTCGTTCTATTATTTTGTATGACTACTCGTATTTCTTGAGTGATTTGTTTTTGCTAGTTAGCTTTGCAAGTTATGTTTTATCTGCATAAACATAAAAAGGTCTGTGTACATATGTTGTTGAATTACATATCTATATTTGTTTACACATGCATAAAACATATGAAACCGAAGCATAGATCATCTTTGCTTATTCTGTCACAGTGTTGAAACGGTGCCCCATGTGTTTTGGGAATGCTCACACGCTCAAATCTTTTGGAATGACATATTTTTGTTTATGAATAAAAAAGCTTGATACAAACCCACAATTTAATGTAAAACATGTACTTTTTGGTGTCTTTGAGAAAGATATTCCTGAAAAAAATAAAAATATATATATATATATATATATATATATATATATATATATATATATATATATATATATATATATATATGTCCCTCTGGTCCTCTTATATAAACTTCTCTAAATTATTGCACAAATCCCAAAAGCCACAAAAACAAAAGCACTTTGTATGGAATTTGGAATAAAATATGATTGTATTTATTATTTTATCTTTTTTAACATGATGAGCCCTGTAAATATGGATTCTTAAGTCTCTAGCAATGTTACTGTTTATACCATTGTATATTATATTGTATATATGGGGGGAAAAAAACACTACAGTGTAATAAAACCATAGACATTTTTATAAAATTAGTTTTATTAAAGTTACTTGTGTTAAAAGTGTGTGAAAAGCATTTTATTACATTTACATTTTATGTAGGTAGACTGACTTCAGATCCATAGACTATGCTTCATTCTAGCCTGACCTGGGGCCTCATTTATAAAAAAAACTGCGCAGTAAGTTAGTGCGTACGCCTAGTAGCTACGACAGGCGTGCGCCAAGCAAACTCCATATTTAGAAAACCCACCGCACGCACCAAACCACGCAATCTTTGCTTTATAAATCCCACCTGCAACTAGAATTTGCGCACGTAAACCCACGTCACGTCACGCCCTCTCCACACCTCCACCTCACCATAAAAGGAGCATGTAAAGTGACTCGTGAATGAGATTTCTCTAAACATGAGCCGATAATCAGTGGGTTTGACCTAGACACGCGGGACAGAGGGAGGAGGACGCTCCACGCAGCACCACACAGTTACGTCAAGGACTTTATTAAATACTTTATTAAACAAGGTTTAATAAATAAATACAAAACTAAAAGTGACAACAATGACTCATCTGTTCATTTAATCATTTTTTTTAATAATATTTAGGCAGCACATCTTTGCAGTAAAGCCCATGTGTTTTTTCGCTGTTTCAAGAGTTTTATCGCTACATTTTTAAGTCTGTCTATGATGTGTGTGTGTGGACTGGCCCTGTATATATATGCCTATACACATAGATACGTGCACGCGCTGATATGAATGGTCAAATTATGAGCGCGTGCGAGAGATTCAGATGCCCTCCCCTGGAGAGGGAAAGGAGCGAGGGGGGGATACGAGGATACGAGTGTGGGTCTGGGTCTGTGAGTGTGGGTCTGGGTCGGGACGGGCATTATTCTGTTCTTCATACAGTCAGAGAGCAGCTCTCATGTACAAGAGTTCCCCATTACACAAAAATGTAGGAAAGATTTTGGTTGGGGTCAGGTTCGGGCAGGGGGCTTCGTGTTGTCCGCTGACTCGGGTCAATCTGCCGCTCGGTGCGTAAAGACTAAAGTAAAAGTGTTAAAGTTGCGTTCATTAAATCAAAGTCTGGCTCCTGCTGCGTCCAAGGGAAGAGTTTTCTCTCAGGTTGGGTCATTATTTCGTCCTCTGTGTTGGTCACAGACTGTGTTCTATAGAAGTCTATGGTCGCGGTGTGGACTGTGGGACTCTGCGCTACACAGTGTCCGGGAACGTGGCCGCGCTCGTGCACGAGTTTCAAATGTATAATATTGTGGAGAATAATGAATAATAAACAGCCCTTCTCCGTATTTTGGCGAACCAAACACTTAAATGCACAAATCTGAAGGTAATTCTTCTATATACGTGGATTTTCTGGTCAAACACTTCCTCAAACTCTGTTCACTTCTGCTTCTCTCCACGAGTGTCGCTTTTTCCCCCGTGTCTCCAGACTTTGCGTAGAATTTACAGGAGGTCCCCAGTTGGCGTAGAGTTAAGCAAAGAGCCACGCTTTAGGCGAGTTTTATAAATACCGCGGTTGGCGTAGGAAGCGCGCATGCACGGATTTTTGCGTAAGCAAGATTTATAAATGAGGCCCCAGATGTCCCAGTTTTGAGCCCTGTGTCCCCTGTCCCTGCAGATTTATCCAAAACCAGTGATTTGTCCCAGTTTTATAGAAGATATGTCCCAGGTGTGCCTATTTCTGACCAATCTGATGCCTGGTAACAGTGAAGAGAGGCATAATATAATAAAATACAGAAAAACATGCTTAAAAATGGCCAAAACAAAAGAAAAAAGTGACTATACTGACTCATATATTAGTTGTGAATGGGCCGAGTGCAGAACCAGTTTTTGATTTTGAAATTCTGGTCACCCTCCTTCAGTCCCACTAAAATAATCCCAAAAATATTTGCTCTTGACTTGGCAGGTGTTCTGGTTTTGTGGTTTTTTGGGTCTTTTACATATCCTTGTGACAGTTCTGAACCCTTGTGTCTGTTTAACTGAAACAAACAAGAATCAGCGATTCCCAACCACAGGCTCTAGTACTGTCAAAACCATACAGAAGAAACGATTAATTTTATTAAGAGCGCTTTTTTTTTTATCAGTGGAGGTAATAAGTGATATTTATACTAAAAATGTTATCAGATAAAATTATTCATATAAAGATCGCTTGTACCACTGAAAAATGGTAATGCTCATCAGCATAAACACAAATGTAAATAAACAAAAAGAGAAACTGGAAAAAAAACATTTTATTCTGGGTCAGTTAATACAGACAAGTTGGCTACGTTCAGACTGCAGGGCTTAAAGCTCAATTGCGATTTTTTTGTGAAATCTGATGTTTTTGCGAGGTCGTTCACATTTCCAATTAAATGTGACTTGTCTGTGACTCCAGTGTGAACGGTAAACAGCCCGAAAGTGTCCCGCATGCTTACTGGAGGACACGATGACGTCAACCCCATGCGTCAACCGCAGCGAGCGTGCTCTGTGTTTACGGAAGTTGTCCAAACATGGACGCGAGCATTGAGCACCTGGGGATTTTACAGTTCCGGTTTCCGCCTGCTTCAGCGCAGAATAGTGACGTTTGTCGCTTGTTGATAACGTGTAGGTCGGATGGATGCGCTTTGGCCGTTCAGACTGAAGTCGCATGTCAAAAGATCGGATATGTATCGGTTTCAGGACCACATATCCAAGTGGCCTGGGTCGCATTTGAAAAAATCTGATCTGTGCCGTTCAGACTGTCATTAAAAGATTGGAGACAGGTCACATAGAAGCCAAAAAATCGGATTTGGGTCACTTCAGGCTGCAGTCTGAATGTAGCCGTTGATGTATGTCAGAGAACTAATTTTCAATTCTAAATAATTTAAGTTTTCCCAATGATCCAAGCAGCAATGGTGAAAACATCACGAACCAGCTGGATGGATAACTGAAATACAGACAATAGCCCAGGTCCCTTTACTGGACATTGGAGTAGGTTAGTTTTATTAGCAGAACTGTTTAAATGATTATTAGACAGTATTTAAGAATGTGAGGAATAAAATCTGAATTCTCTGGATTAGAGGTAAAGGTGCATTGTGGTACTTTTCAGGAGGAGGGTCCGTCAAATGCGTTTCTTTATGGATGTTATGGCTTTGTCTGGAATATGTCACTGTAGGGCATTAAACTTTCCTATCTTTATGGTGCCCAAACCAAGTTACATGTCAGATTTGTGGAAAGGCAACCTTGCTCAGTCAGAATGCCTGCTTTTCTAAGCATTTTTTGAGTTATAAAACCACCTGTAATTGAATAAATATAAAGTAGAGCAGTTTGTCATACTGTGGAGCGTTCCAGGCCGAGCAATGACATATCCATAGAAACAAGCAGGTGCTAAAAGGTTACATAGTGCACCTTTAAAAGCAGCAAAAAAACAAAAAAAAAAACAGTTTAATCTTTTCTTTTGTGTTTCCTTTGCTTAATAATAAATAGGTTTTCATCAGTTGGGTACATTTTGTCTGACATATTTTTGTTTGCATTCTTCTTTTTTTTCCTTTTGCTCGGATTTACATTGTTGTTTTTGGCCTGTTTGCTCGCACCAGTCCAGCAAAGTGACTGGCCATTTTTCTTGAACTTTTTGCTCTTTTTTCGTCTCTCCATTTCCTCGCCTTGCCCTCCACCTCTTGGAAACTCATCTGCTTCATCTAAAACTATTTTTTCCACAGAGCCTCTAGACTGGGGGACTGGTCTCTTGGGTTTCCATAGCTTTTCCTGAGAGACTGGTTTGTGCTTTTGCTGCTTGCTTGGTTTAGATATTGAGTCGGAAGTGTCACTGAAAAAGATATGGCTGGAAGCAGGCAGGTCCGTTTTATAGCTTTGGCGTGGCGTTTTCTTATGATGGTAATTGTTTTTTTCAAAGGTGGTCTTTTGTTTCTTCCTTGGAGGTCCTGGGGTTGAAGGTGATTGAGGAACATAAGGAAAGAGGCCAGAGTTCTTCAGATCTAAAAATACAAAACATTTATATTAAGATCCTATATTACACAAAATTGACTCTTGTGAGCTTTTAGCCATGTCCTAACATTATTACCTCCTCATAAATATACCTGGAGTTGTGTTTTGTTTCAGTCACACATGTTTGAATAACCCTGAATTATTACTAGTCTGTCTACATCTCCTCCAGCCCAAAATGCTCTGTTCCACCTTGTGATGTCATGTAGTGGTAATCTTCAGGTTAACAGCTACTTTTACGTTAAGTTCATTAGAGATGGGCAATTCCAGGGCTGAAATTATCCCAATAATTATAGAGAAGGTGTCTAGAGTTTAAAAACATAGTGAAGCATTTCCTGTATAGCCACATGACATCACAACGTAGAACAGAGTGCTTTCAGGTTGAGGAAAGAATTCAGCCTAAATATACAGGGTTTGTGTGTTAAACATGTGTGAATGAAACTAGAGCCCGACCGATATATCAGCTGGCCGATATTATTGGCCGATATGGGCACCTGGAGACATATCGGCTATCTGCCGATATGCTTGCTGATATGGGCCGATATTTCACGTGGGCATGTTATACCTCGTTATAAAGCTTAGACTCTCTACATTATGTTCGTTTAATCCAATTTACAGACAGATAAATGTCCTAATATGTGGCTCCGCGTCAGTATTTATCTGCGGTGTAATTTGTCTGTGTCTGTGTCATACTGTCCCTGAACACACCACAGAGTCATGTCACTTCACTCACGTGCTATTGTTTACACCCGCAGCGGTGCGCAACACTGAGATTATATTCTTTTTACAGACAATCGGTTTGAGTCTGGATTAAAATAACTTTTATTAGTGCAGACTTGTGATGTGAGGAGGAGCCTGTGTGAGCAGTGAGTGTTGGAAATACATCAACTTTGAAGCTAGTTTTGGCTATTTGTTATTAGCGATTAGCTGCTGTAGCTCCCGCACATAAACAGGCTGTTTTCTATTGGCCTATTGTAAAGTGACTATATTGTCCGTATATTTGTTACTGGACCTGCATTGATATGTAAATGAGCTGTGAACAGACGTGTGAATGATCCACATTTATGCATATAATTAATTACCGCGGCGCGCACGTTTTTACGGCTAAAGGCTAATAGCCGTAGTTTCTTTACTAGCTAGGAGTTATGGGTCGGTCGCGATCGAAGCGGCTCTTAGAGCCGGCTCTTTGAAGCAAACAACGGGAGCATGTTTCTTATTGGGAGCCGTGTTTTCTCTTTTTCTCACTTTTTCTCTTCAAGCCGCTTGTAGACCGTAGTTTGACAGCAGCAGCGGCTGAAAACGAAACTTCAGAAATCTGCGTGTGCATAGGATAAAAAAAAAAAAAAAGTGCATATTTGGCTGCAGTTCATCATAAAATGAATAAACCAGGACTAATCTTGGGCTCGAGTGAGGGAGAGACCGAGTCCCGACACTCAGTCCTGGTTCAGTTCTGGTTTAGTCCTGTTTTACACATGGCTTAAATCTGTTTTAGTCCTGGTTCAGTTTTGGTTTAGTCCTGCTTGTAACAAAACAATCTCAAGAGTCGCTTGGGAGCCGAAAGAGCCAGCTGCTTTAGTGAGCCGAGCCAAAAGAGCCAGTTCTCAAAAAACCCCAAACTGGAATACCCATCACTAGTAGCTAGAATGTGAAGCAAAAATGCCATTAGGCCAATCTACTGTATGTAAATATGATGTAAAGAGTCAGAATAACAATAAATGTTGCCTTAATAAACCCAATTTAGAATCCACTAGAGCCAAACCTAAGTTTTTTAAATAATTCAAGATTTACAGTGAATTTTTACATCACTAAATATATCAGCTATCTCATTATATCGGTTTCATATTGGCCACAACAAAATCCATATCGGTCGGGCTCTAAATGAAACAGAACAACTCCAAGTATGTTTGCAATGAGGAAACAACATTTCAACATAGATCAGGAAATGGTGTAACACAAGTGTAATATGAACGCAGCTCTAACTGTAAATGATGTGTTTTTTTAATAACTTACCTTTGACCTTCTTTTCTATGCGGCTTTGTCTGACATTTATGTCTTTTGTGGTGTCGTAGTGATTTATAAAAGGTGTGCTAGGATAGGTCCCATTAAACATCCTCTGCCTGTGACACTCCTGAAACACATTCACACAAACATGTTTATTTAGTGCCATCGACAAAGTACACCTTTTCAGGATTAGGGATGCACTGATACAATATCGTCGATACTGATCATTTTGGTTCAGATTTTGGCTTCTGAGGTACCGGTTCAGCGGATTTGTCTATAAATTGGTGTAATACAACAATTCACTAGCCAATGCAATTTAACTTGTATTTTTACAAAGCTGTTCTGTAGTTACAAAACACATTTGAATAATTTTTTTGACCTTATGCTATTTGTTTTTTAAATAAATAAATAAATCATATTTTCAGCCTCTGCACTAGTATTGTTTGATATCGGAGGTACTTAAAGCCAAAGTACTGACATCGTATCAAACAGAAAAAGCTGGATCGATGCATCTCTATTCAGGATGACAGTGAAATAAATGTAATTTATTGACAATTTTGATTCTTCAGTTCATAGAGTACACAGAAAGATTCCACATTAGAAGGAATCACCCAACCCCATTTCTGAGAGACAGGCCATTGTGCTTCCTTTTTAAAAAATGATTCTTTACACAAAAACACACACAGTGGACAGGCAACCCACATTTCATAGAATCAGGCCAAAATATCGTAAATACTCACATGTCCAAAATGCCCCTTCTTGGCACAGTTGTAGCAGTAAGCAGGAGTTCGGCCCTGATGGTTTCCCTGGTGTATTACAGGAGGCCCCCCCTTAATCTAAAGAGAAAGGAAGAAAGGTGTCAGCAGAAAGCTAATAGAACCCATTATTTCAACTTAATGTCTCCCCGTCTTACTCTTCTCACATGTCATTCCCCTGCTGTCTAATGAAATGGGATGCTATGTATTGTATGCTGAATACGGTGGAGATATCAACCAATGATTACTGGGCCTATAGTTGGAGCCCTGTAATGACCCAGTATGATAAGTAACCTCTATGCATGTGTGTGTGTATTGGACACAGGGTCCTGTCCCCTTTGGGCCAGTGTTCTGAAAGCCTTCCATGCTCCAGTGCTCCCAGCAAATATACACTGATAAAGAAAGAGAGGGCAGGCCAAGGCATATTTACTTCTAATGTCTCTCGCTCACACATGCACACCTAATGCTATTCCCAAAGCTAAGGTGCCCCAGTCCTGATTCCAAGATTACAGACCATTTGTGTCGTCGTCATTTCTTAAACATAGCTAACCTCCCCTGTTCTTCCTCAGTGTCCCTTCTCCAACCCACACGGACCCCTCACACTTGTTTTCCCCCTTTCCTCTCTCTCTTTTCCGCTTGAGTAGTTTTGTAGCAGAAAGGATGAATGCTATTAGGGCGTCGCGTCATTATCGGGTCAGGGCGGCCGGGGCCCATCTCCATCACAAAGGCCAGGAGATCACAGACCTCTTGTGAGCGTGGCTGCGTACACACACACACACACACACACAGCAACGTCGTGCACCCCAAGGAGATCACCGTCCCCATCTCAACACCCCCTCCACCCAGACCTCCACCCAAGCAGTTCTTCTTCCCATTCATCTCTCATGTAAATTGGCTGTAGGTCTGCCTCCTCCTGACCTTGGGCTTATGTTATCTGCACATATACGGTGATCCAGCCTACAGACAACCAATGGATGTGTAAAAGAGCAGTAATGAAATCTCCTCCTATTCTGCACTAAACCTAAGACTGACTGTTTGAACCCTGCAATCCATGAGCATTTGCATTTGGGTTTAGAGAATGGGCCATATATGATATTAATTAACTGCGTAACCCTTCACCTTATTCATTCACAGTCTAATTTGATTCTGTCATCATATCAGGAGAATCTAAATAGCTAGCATCAAATCTATTAAGACTCTAATTTGTAAATTTTTCTTTTAGGAATCAGCATTAATACCTCTGTAATATGCACAGGCTGCAGAAAAAATGACTACATATATAGAAGACAAAGGATTTGAGGTTTTAGGTATTTCTGTATATATACACATTTGGCAAACTAAGTAAATCATAATACATAATTTAGCACTAAAAGAAGTAACATGGCAAATACCTCAGTGAAACAGAGTTGCACATGTTGCAAACAACAAAATGCTTTTTTTTAAAATTTCATAATAATTTTGGGCGTCATACTAGTCCCATGTAACCAATAATGGACTTTTATAGTATTTCCAAATGAAAACCTTTTTGACTTTTGACTTTTTACTCCATCACAAGTAAGTTTTTTTTATACTACAAGCATGCACATCTTCATAGTTAGTTAATTTTGGACTTCTATTTTTGGAAAGTCTCGTACAACTTTAGAAAGTTTAGTTCAGAGAAGACTGGAGAGGATTAACAGCAATTCTGTTTCATATTAACAGACCCATATTCACTGATCTTTCCCAATCAAAAACTGACCATGACAAACCAACACGAGTGATGAGTGACTACATTTGCAGAGGACTGTAGCTGTTATATTATTATTCCTAACTGCTACCAGCATAAATAGATAGGACCAAAGCATCAGTGCATTTAGCTGCTCCTCCCATGACTGAGTGAGCACAGGTGTTTAAACTTGAGCCTGCCCCTCTGTCAGCTGATGCATATAGGGTAGCACAAAAAGTTCTCAGATGTGTAAAAGTCTATGGGCGGGTGGGGTTGGTCAGCTCCCTCTCATGCACCCCCCCCCCCACACACCCACACACACCCACACACACACACAAACACAAACACATACACGCACACACAAACGAAGGCAGTTTTCCCACAGTTGTCTCTACACGTCCTGTTTCTCTAAACCACGCTCGCCCCTGCTCCCTGCCTCGGCTGCTGGTGGCAAAGCTGTGATAATCCTTGGGCCAACACAAAGCTCGGACTGTTACCAGCTCCAATCTGAAGGAACACGCATACATAGTTATCAAACCCAATCCGAGGAGCAAACAGGCTTGTACCATGAGAGTGTGTGTGTGTGTGTGTGTGTGTGCATGAAAATGTGTGGGGGCTAGCGGCACTGTTTTGCATATGTTATTGCAGCAGTGGGGAGAGGTTTGCATATGTTACTGGACCCACAGGGAAGCAGCTCAGCATGCTTTATCATAGAAACACAACGCAACACTACTGGGCTCATACCAAAACAAACAGGCCTCCTGCGCTACTGCTACATGCCAGTATGTACATATTATTGCCAAGCTAATTAGACTGTTGTGAATTAGCTAGATTGAATGCCTATAAGGTGAACATCTTTTCAGAGTGCCCTAAATGAAAACAAAGACAATAGGATTTAATCCTCTTATTATCATATGGGATTTTGAAGAGCGCAATTTAGAAAATCAACAACTTATTAGAAGAGCTATAACAAGCCAATGATTGTTCAAGGTTACCATGAGCAGAGGGACGCAGATTTACTGCGAGATTCTAACTCACTCCATTTGTATAGCCCCTTGTCTTTGACACTAGAGGTGGAAGATATATTGTAAAATTAATATAGCAATTGTATTTTGGGGACATAACCGATATTCCAAATAAATATATTATGTATTAACAATACATATTCGATATTAATTGATTATAAATTTCAAAAAGAGCAGCTGACCTGTGCATTCACGTTCTGTGCAACACCACACCCAACAACCCCAATAACACACCCTCCAATGTGTAGGGAAAACTTATGCCGACTGCACATTTTAGATTGATGAGAGTAATGGGGAACCCAAAGGAATCACTCCTAACACAGGGAGAACATGCAAACACGATACACAGTGTGATAATGTGATGAGGGAGCAAATGCCTCCGGGTGCCACCCCTAGAGGGGAACAAAATCTTTTGGGGGAACAACTACGAGTAATCTGGTCAAACCGTGACAAGCGGAACAGGGGATACAAGCTATACAATCTATTCAAGTCTGGGTCCAAGTTAGAAGTTCAGACTCACAGCTGAATTCAGCTGCCATGTTTTTGGAAATCTAATTAGACAGAGATGACATATGGACAGTGTGGAATGGGGATTTACACTTAATACTGTAAGATGGACAGATGAAGTCTTTTGCTCTGGTAAAATCCTAATTTTACACCCGCACCATCCTCACAAATGTACCAGGCTTTCAAGTAGCACGAGCACCTCATCGACACCATCCAGCTAAGCGGAAAGGCACAAAGAAGTGAGAAGTCTGCAAGCCCTCTGATAACGGGCACCTGTGTATGTGGAGGCGCAGGGCTCACGCTTGTGTACAGTCCTATGGTTTTGCATTACGCTACAGAACAACAAGCCTGACTCAACCGTGGCAAAAACCTGGGCTACACTCAGATGCAGGTCAATACACAACTTTTAATTCCCAGAGCAAGTTCCATGTTTTCAATATTTGTCACAGTGTAAAAGTTTAAGAAACATTTTTATCACTTTGTAAAACATGTCTGAAACAAGAGTACAAATTACATATCATGAGGAAATTGGACTTCAGTTTACTTCTTCAACAATGCATGCAAATTTTTTTCTTCCTCGCGCGGGCAGACAAACCCCAAATCCCTGAGGGAAAATGATGCAGTACTCTGCTACGCCACTAGAGGCTGCTCCAAGCCCATACTATGAAAGATAAACCATCCTGCTGTGCACAGTGAAGTGAGACAGAGGTGTAAAAGATTTACTCTGCCACACATGTTAACTTGCAATTTGTATGAGCTCTTGCACTGAGACTCACAAACATGCACATACTAACAAAATACCAGTCAACAAACTAACTATCAATATCTGTATATAATTATATATTAAAAATCTAATCTATTTTTCCAAACTCCACTCTATATTAGCACCATAGATCTGTTACAACAGATGAAGAATGGGAGCATATACATACATCCCAATGGAGAAGCAGACGTTATAAAACACAGTGGTAGAGTTTCTTAAGTGCACACTTTTCACAGGGGACATACTGGCTGGTAAGTGCCATCATCATGTGTTTTGAATTGTCTCATCGATTGTTTAATATGGAACTGTTATTAATAAAGCACTGCAAATGATCTTAAACATTTACATCACTAGACTGAAAATATGTGCTACTAAGATGACTGTCCTTTGCAGCAATAAAAAAAAGATGATACAGAATGAACAGACTGTTAGGGACTGGGCTGAAATAACAATAGACATTAAAATGATAAAATATAGAAAAGATGACATACTCTGTAAATTCAACAATGGAATATTTAGCAACCGTGGGATAAATATGGCGAACGATATGTGCAAAGAACTGCCTACGCGCTGCACTTGTTTTGTTGTTCTCTCTCTTTTTTGTTTCCTTTTGATGTTTTATTAAAAAAAAAATCTGCAGGTTTGCAAAGCTAATTTGGTCTCCTTCAAACATAAATCAGATCAAATTATATATATATTTTACCACTGCAAATATATATATATACTTCTACACAATGGCGAAGGACACAACCTCATTTAACATTTTACTGCTTTTGCTCAATGACTTCTGTCTTTAAGTGGGCTAACTCAATTATACATTTTTACTTCTTAAGAGCCGAGAAATGCTGAAACTTCAGGAAATAAAAAGACAAGACTTGCTAACCTTGACCCAACAAAAGTATATGTGAATTAGGCATGCCCCCTGGAGAAAGACAGTGGGGCCCAAAGAAAACTGGTACAAAAAGGTGAAAGGGTGGAAGGTAAAACCCGAGAAATGGGCAGTGAGGTGAGAAGGAGGGACCCAGAGGAGTTCAGAGAAGGATTTTATTCCCGTGACGAACAAAAGGTCACTCACAAGTTTTTATTTTTTTTTTACCCCATACCAAAAGACATGACACACATAGTCACACACAGTCCATACACCGTCACCTGCCCTGGGAAAGAGATCAATACACGCACTGATACTGGCATGAGGTGAAAATCCATTCATACAGGCGCACAGAGCCTGGTCAGTCTGACGATCAATAAACACACACATACAGGTGTCACTGCTGCTTCGGACAGAGGCCCCATCAGTCAGGGCTCACTTCTAAACTACTTTAAAGGACCCAAAGATCGATTTAGTCCTCACTGGCCGCTACCAAAAGGACCCATGGACACAAAATCAAAAGAAAAGTCTATGTGATATTGAATAAATACAAAAAAGTAATTCAATACAAACACGCTAAACGAACTCTTGGTTTTAGCATCCTTCTACCACTCTACCATAGCGAGTTACAGTATATTGGCTTTGGTTCAATAGAAAGTCTGTCACATGCTTTTTTTTTTTAACATAGCTCTTTTCCACCTTTAAAGCACTCAAAGCACTTCACAGTTACATCCATAATTTGATCCATTTTGAAAATTTTAAGCATGGGGACGTTAATCTTCATCACTTCAGATATATTTTGTGCATATATTTTGCAGTTTTGAATTACAATGCATATCTGGTCAGATACAATGATTAAACTTCTAACTAATTACAAAAAACATTTAATTAAGTCAATCAATATTATTAACCTTAACTCTTAAACGCATTCAATGTGCATGTATGGTCTGTTATGATAAATATTATATAGACTTATCATTTAATAGATGATAGATGGGATTTTGAGAGGTCAATTTTTATCATGGGTACTTTTTCTTTGTACTACAGGGAAATTTTTGGTTGTTTTTCTGTACTATAATGAGATCTGAACTGTAGAAGATTAAATTATGAATTTCTACTACTCATTACAGACACAAACAAGGTACTTAAATGTTGCCTTCTGCTATTTATTTATTGCAGCCCATATTTTTTAACAATATCGTACATTTAGATACACTTTTGGGGGACATAACTTTCATTTCATCCATTGAATTCCCTTTATTTTAGATGCGCTCATGCCCCTCTTTCTCTCCAAGCAAATAATTGGGATTTCAATAACGGCTATAAATAATAATAGCATGATATATTTTTTTCATAATCCAACGGCTCCATCTCTTAATATTTTTTCAGTATCATATTTTTTGAATGATCACCATAACAGTATTCACAAGATATCAGGGCAGTCTGTCAGAAATGTGCCAATCCTTGTAAAATGTTATGGCTGAAGTTCAAATATTGTACAAACGTGAATGAACTGTAAATAATTCAAGCACAAAAACATTAATTTGTGAGGGTTACACTTACATACAGTTACTCTTTACTCAATATTCTAATTTTGCATATCTCCAAAACAACTGCTGTGATACGACAGTGATAGACAAACAATCTACAATGTCTAAACTAAATTATTTTAAAGTCATTAAGTTAAGTATAAGTTAATTTAACGCTTCTACCTAAATGTAACTACTTTATGTGAAGTGAACAGAATGTTGCAGTTCTGTCAGTAGTCAGTCAGTGGCAGTCTGCTCCCAACACAGGCAGATCACACAGAGCTCAGGGAGAAGTGACTAGAGCTCAGGGCGCTGCCTACAACTCATGCATTTATGAATGATCTTTACATGCTGCAATGTACAGACAGGAGGTCACTCAACCTGCACTATGGCCTGTACTGAGGCCTCTCCAACCATGTCAGCCCCTCACAGGCTCCAGCCCATACGCGGACTTCACACTTTGGCTCTGCACTTCACAAAGGGTTCAGCCAAAAACCATTTCATCTGGAGTACAACTGACAAGAATTAACAAACCAGCAGTGAACAGCTTTTAGATTTACCAAAAAATACTGCTGTCATTTGAACAGTTCCCCATAGAACAATTTAGGTAATTATTTAAAATATAAAACTGTAAACATGTCAAGAAAGATGGAAATGGTTATGTATCGATAAGAGAGACCTTAAGCAGTACAGATGTGAGAAGATAAGAAAAAAACAAAAAACAAAAGCATTCATTGGGTGTTCAGACAGTGGATGTCATTTTCAAACATTGCATTCTATGCAAATGCCTAAAAACACATGTCCTTTGCATCATTTCCCACTCTATATATTTATTAAATGTGTTTGTGAAGCCCCAGGGCTTTGTGGACCATAGTGTGTGGTTTGGAGGAGTTTGTTAGTGAAGGCCAGGTGCAGGAGACACATAGACTCAGATAAACGGGCCATGCACACACACACGCGTGCGCACACACACACAGAAATGGAGCCGGTAGCAGGGCGGTCTGACAGAATGCCTTTTCACACCTGGCTGAGCCCAGCGGAAGGTGACAGAGTCACATCTCCCAAAGCGAACACACACACAGCCGCTCACATTGGGGAGTTCAGGGTCATAAGCAGCATCATGAATAAAATGAGCCCATCTTAAACAGAAGGAGTCGGTGTATGTGGCGTTTGTGTGTGCAGGCCCCTAACCCCCATGCCACTTTGGATCGGTAACGACCTTCTGTTCACAGTGCTTAAATGGCTTAAATACTTCAATTAGACCTAGGTCACAATCTTCCACCCGTTAAAGCACGCCATCACACACATACTAACTCAACAACCCAGAACAGAACTAAACAAAGTGGCACAGGGTCCGCAGAGCCTGGGAGCTCTCCGAAAAGGTAAACACACACAAATGTCTATTAAACAAAAAATATGCTGCTGTGATATATAATGCCAAGAATCATTTTTACCTGGTGTACATTTGGTTCTCTAAGCACATATTATGCTTCAAGTAAAGTGCTTGCTGTTTAAACTGTACTCCACTGCAAATACATGATTAACATTTAAGATCAAGGGCAAAACTTAAACAGCAAATGTGTAATTTTTACATTAACCCTCTCTATGGGCTTATTCACTATCTCAAGTTCTACTGTCCTACGCCAGCATCAGTGCTGGAACTTCAGTCCCGTGCCCCCCTTTCTTGTGCTCTCTCTCCTGCTGTGCTATCCGAGTGCTAACGATGCTGCCTTTTCATTAGACAGCCCCTGCTAATTAATCTCCATAGAGAAGAGTGACAGACCTCCCCCAACACAGACACACACAAAAGTGCGCACCAAGATATATGCATGCACACACTCTTCTTCCCTTCTCTCTCACTGTCTCGTCCCGTGTGGCGTTGGCAGCCCATTTCATGCTTTATCACGTCTTTTAATTGACAAACAAGCTGCTCTTTTCTCTTAGGCTGAGGTCTATATCACCCCTTCTGCTCAGACACACACATGCATGCAATAAAGACCCCAGAAAACTCTAGCAGATTTCAGAGGAATACACAAATAAGCAAATGCACCTCCGCTGACATATGGCCCATGTGGTGTTACACTGTTCTACTCTTTGACACACCGTCACATTCTCCCACACAGATGCCACATGTGCACGAAGGGTGAAAATGAAGGAAAAAGGCAAAAGGCGGCATCTCTCCTGGCACTTTGCTAATCTCATGTGAGGCGTTTGCTTCCATGGTTCAGTCATCTGCTACAAGGCAAGGTCAATACCAGTCATGACGAACTTATTGATTTACAGTGATCATGTCATACCTTTATCATGCCCAAGGTTAGGAAAAAACCTGGAATTTAAAATTTCTTTGGTTTAAATTTCACATTTAAATTTAATAACACCCCACTGTATAAAGTTTTCACCAAAACCAGACTGAAATAAAGCATTTAATTTTTACATTTTTACATTCATTTAATTTTACGAAAATAAAGCACCTTTGCTGTGAGGGAGTTATATCTCCACAGACCTGACTGTTCTGGTGAAGGATCCACCACCTGCTTGTCTCCATGGAGATGTATCAACTTTGCCTTGAAAATTCACTACTGGCATAAAGACATTTGGTTTGAACTATCTACTTCCATGGATTCATGCAGGTGGCACGCCTCCCACCAGGAATCTTACGCAGGGTTGTTTTCATATTTTTGAATAAGTGTCAACTTAAATAAATGAAATGATTCTTGATCATATTCCGTCATTAAAATAAACTGTGATTCTTATAATAAAGATAATCTAGTTGAGTAACACTTAACTCCTTCTTTGGATTGCAGTATTTTGAATATTTTACTCTCATGAGACCCGTTCTGCATGAAAAAAAGATTTAAAAATGTCACAGGCTGGAAGTGAGTGCGGCAGGCTTAGCGCCCTCCACCCATCACCTTGTTCTTTCACCAATTCTCTGCTTTTAATTGGGACTTTGTGCACAACTTCTACACTCAGAGATTTATCTAAATGTGACTCTGTGCTGTATATTTTTGTCAGCATTGCTTTGCATAGTGTGAAGACAAAAGCCTGTTTTATATGCAAGAAGAAAACAAGTTTTATGTATTTTATTGATGCAAGATGACAATAATGAACTTTAAAAGTATTTTGAAAGTTCATCTATTGTTTTAATAAAGTTAACTTTTTAAATCTTTAGTTGAGTGTCATAACAAATCACCTGTACTGTAAATGTCACTTTAAGGCAAAAGCCCTTCTGAGTAAAGGATGGAGGGTATAAATAGTATTTATTTTATTTATTTATTTATTTATTTACAGCAAGGTATTTTGTGGAGCTTTTCTACAACAGAATACTCACCGTTATATGATACTGTCTCCAGACTTCTGGACAGTCCTAAAAGAAGAAAACAAGGGTTACTCTGTTGTGCTGTTCATTAAACTTAAACATAGCTGACAAACTACTCAAACATGCATTTCTATTGCAGAAAGGCCAAGCGCATGGTTGGTCTCATTATAGGGGCAAAGGTGTAGATAAACGTTTCCTTTTCCTTTCATTTGCAACATAACTTAATGTTTGTTTCCCTGCAGTAAACCAGTCAGTCAAAAGGCAGTGAGTAAAGCAGACAGTGACTCTGTCCCGGTGTATCTAAAGCATTATCTCTGGAGCTTCGCCACGCTGTTCCTTAAGCGTTCCGACATCCTTCCCAAACTGCCGTCACTTCCCACTGGGAAATTGAAAATGCCGCAGTCGCCGCGGGCAACAAGATTTATCTGCTCACACACCTACTGAGTGAGAGGAAACGAGAGGATTTTGACCTGACTGTAAACTACACAGGCTCTTTACTTTATTGTATCTCATTCTTTAGTCCCGAGTAGATTATGAAAAGTTGCTTCACATTAGAAAGATCAGTGTTGCCAGCACAGTGGCTTCATATGTTCACTTTTGAAACAGAGCATCTTCTCTCACTCTCAGTAAGTTTTTTTCTCCATCAGCTACCCCCTCCATAGCCACTTCCTCCTGTTAGCTGGTTCCCTCCAGACCAGCGGGCTTGTGTGTTGTTGTCGAGGGCGACAGGCGAGGCGAGCGACACTCGCGCTCCGTCAACCGTCTGTCTTTAATGAGAGACACAGAAAGGCCCAAGGGACAGAGACCTGACTCTGTCTCTGCAACACACACGCTAATCATTTGTGAGAGGAATGAGAAATTTATGCATTCCAAGAAGGAGGTAATTACAATGGCCAAAAAAACAAACACACAACTTTGTCATTAAAAACAATATGCAAATAAGTAGGAAAAGGCAGAGGGATTGAGAAGGTGAGAGAGGACCTCTGTGGCCTGGTCTCCCCTCTCCCTCCTCTGTTCACCTGGTTACTCATCCATTACACACAGCACAGTACATGAGTGAGTGACGGTGAGCCAGCAGTGGAGGTGCAGGGAGGCACAGGCCATGCCGCAGAAGACTGTCAATGGGCAGGGTAATGCAAAGTTGTGTTAACTGTCATTGATAGTGAACAGATTCACCTTTCAGTCTTTCAGACACAATGCCTATAAATTAACGTGAACAGAAGCGTTTGGTCACTCACCATGAGAAATTTCTGGTGAAGTTTAAATGAGGTAAACACAACTGTTCAGTTTTTCAGAGTTTAAATTTCAACTCACATCATGGAAGTGTCCAGTCATTTCGCAGCGGTGACAATGCTTGTGCCAGTAAGACCTCTCACAGCAGGAGCTGTACAGATGCCCAGGAAGTCCACAGTTGTTACAGTGTTTGTAGGGACATCCACTCTGAATATGGCCCACCGTGCCACAAAGGATGCAGGGTGAGACTTTCTGTAAAACAAAACCCATATCCATAAATTTTCATTATCATACTTAATTCAGTCCGTGTTGATTTTAAAGTGCACTTACTTTTGGTTCTGGACAGTTCTTTGACAAATGTCCGGTTCTATTACAGTTTTTACAGTGGACGTTTTTGTCTGTATAATATCGACTTGTCACCCTCGGCACAATGGTCCTAACGCCCTTGGCTTTATTGGAGATCTGGGCCTAAAAACATACTCATTTTAGTATCACAGTTTTAAAATGTGTAATCTGTTTAATAATTGGTTATTAACCTTTCGGTCTTTGTCAGAAATCAGCCACCTGCTATCCAGTTCTTCAATATCTGTAAAAAAGAAATATATACATTTACAATTTTACCACTGAAAGGGGCTGCTGTGGATATTGTTTCATCTGAGCATAGGTTGGTTCTGACAGAAACATACTGTAATAGCTTAAGAAAACAGTGAAAAACAGCATGTGTTGTATTATCTTATATAAACTTGTATAACTCAACACTAAAAGTGCTGAAGCACCCGGAGGAGTTCTTCTTCCTGTAAAGGGAACACAGAGAAACTGCCACAGAGCAGCGCAGCACATCTGTATGACAGTGGCACTAACAGTGCCCTGAGGGAGTCCTCTCTTCAGACCCACACAGCTGTAACTGACATCCACACAGTCGAACATACACAAATGCACACACTCAAACACACAGACACGTGTACTCAGCATAAATTATGTGATGTGGCAATGACCCACACAACGCACATACAGACACCCTTACATCGACCTCTGCGATTAGCTGCTTGACAGTCTTTAGCCTTTGGACAAATACACAGCCTTGAGCCATAATCAAATATTACACTCTCCTTTCCACCTCCCACTCTTCTGCTCTTTCACCTTTTTAAAATTCTGAACAGCCCACTTCTACCCTCTCTTACCGTCATCCCTTGTTTTTGCACCTCTCTTGCCAGTCACTGTGCTGGGACTACAGCTGCAACAGAGGTTACCTCTCTTTCACATCAAACTAATTAAAATGGCTTCAGTGTGGACAGGGCATTTTTCTTTATGATCTTAAATTTATTTTCAAGAATAAAAATAATTTTTTACTTCATAATTTCATACAGCTCATATGCTAGAGACAGTAATCTGTAAGACAATACTACGGAAGATGTCACTAGTTCGTGTTAATAGTCACAATAATCAAATTGTGATTTTGTTTTCTCATTACAATGACTCTGAGGCTTGACCTTTTCCTTAAACAACACCCCAAAGCACAAACTCCAAGTCTCATCAAAAGATCTTTAATATCACTAAGAGCTCTTTTATGCAACAAATTTTATATTTAATAATGTCCAATAGCAAAAATGTATGTAAGCTTCTAAAACAGAAGGTGCCTTTCTTTTTTCTTCATCAACTAAAGCCAATATTGAATGACCTTTGATCCTGTTTATTAGTTGCCTTTTAAATCTCAAACAGCTAATCATCCACCTTTGCATTTAAACAGTGGAGTTGTTTCTAAAACCAGACCTAACATTATGAACAACTTAATTCATTATATAAAACAAAATGTAAAAAAACAACTTCACATGGTTTCAGGTTACAGCCAGAGTCTGTAATTATGAGGAAAAACACCTGCAGGTTCATTTTGAAGAAGAATTAGGGCAATATGGTAACAAAAATCAAATTGAGATCTGATCCATGCGTTGATATGCTATTATTGTGATATTGTCATTTTTAGTTTATTTGAAGAGGAACATATATGAAAGAGTTGACTAGTGTAGCACAGCATGTATCATAGTGCTAATTTGCAGTACTTGTCCCTAGAAGGGTTTTTTAATGCGCAACAGAGCAGACGAATGGAATGACAATGATACAAAGAGGGGTACAACATCAGACAGAGATACACATTAAACACACTTTAAATATGACTGCAGCTGTAAATGTGCTCAAGCAGACATTTTGAACCACCCACTCGTCCTATTGGTTAGTGAGTGAGTGACAGATAGATTTAACCAAACTATAGCAAAGTGAAAAACTTAGATGTATAAAAAGATACTAACATACATGGACTTTCACACAGACAGTGCTCTTATTTCAGCATCAATCAAGGAAAAAACTAGAACAAACCTCTGCCCACGACAGTCCCTTCCCACAAACAAGAAATAATTTAGTGACAAAATAGAAATTGTGATCTTGGCTTTACAAAATAGTGATATGATTATTTTTGTTACTTTATTTTATTTTATTTTTTTGGTTATGGCCCACCCTTAAGTAGGATGTGAACAAGGAACACCAGGTTGGTGTGCGTTAGTGACTAAAGTCATTCCGAAAGCATCTCCCGAGGGAAACCCTACACATAAAGAGCAGGAAGCTTTCCCTTAATCTAAGGGCCCCACATCTCACCAACACAGACGAATAAAGGGTGAAGCTCTTTGTCACGGCCCAGGAATCAAACACATGGGTGGAGGGGTCCAGGAGAGGAAGAAGAAGAGTCAAGGGTGGGGTGGGGTGGGGGGCTGTTGTCTGTATGCTGGCTCAAAATATGCTAATTAACCTGGAGGCCCTGCTCAAAACCCATACCATTAGAGCTGCTCGATCACAGCCCTGCGGATCTGAAAAAGGCGGAAGCCCAATAAGCAGATGGTAACAGACTCAAGAGAGGCCTCCGCCATGTTTAGGGCAACTGTTAGTTCTACTGATCCACGCCTTGAGGAAGCAAGCTTATGTTTGTGCTTCCAAAAAACAATTATGCTTATTTCAAAAAGAACCAGAATTGTAAAAGTAATGCTTAATTTAAATAAATTAAACAATACAACACCGCTATAGCACAACTATATTACAGTGTATCGTCTTGGATCTCTTCTTTGGGTTAAGTGGGCACAGTAGTGCAGGAAAGGGGGACGCTGAAACAGAGGGAGGACCGATCAGAGGAGAGAAGGCGACAGATGCTACCTGTCTGTCTCATAGGTATCCTGATTACTCCAATACGAGGAGGAGAGGGAGGAGGCAGTCTGCCAGTTCATCAGAGCCAGCACAACAAAACCACCACACTAAAATACAGTGTGTGTGTGAATCTGTTCCTTCTTCCAGTGAGAACAGAACGGAAGTGTATGTGTGGCTAATGAACCATGAACACCCGGCTCTCATGGGGTGACACACACACACACACTCAAAGGCAGAGCTAGTGAATATTAAGGGACCATCCATCTCATGGGACGGACAGTGGTTTATGTCTGATAACCAGAGGACGAGGAGGCACACCCCTCCATCAACTTGGCACCTGCCAACCAACATGTTCTGTTACCATGGTGCTTGCAATGAAGGTGCAGTTACTACACACACGGGCTGCACAAACTATTACCCAACTTTAATATGCTAAAGATAGGCCAACTGTTGCAAGAGGTCAGTTCAGAGAAACATTCACAAATCAGAGATCTTCGCAGTGTTGATTATTTGATACATTCAAACACCACAATTAGTCCACAGTTGTATTGTGATCTACTATGCATAAATAAGGCTCATAGACCCTAAACTAAAGTTATATTTTATTTATTCTTTTATAACTCAAGTGAAATGTATATTTCCCCTTTTCTCTAAATGTGCATGTGCATTTACAAGCTGTTATCCCTGTAACATCAAAGCCCTAGTCTGGCCCGCCTCACCCCTATCCTTCTTTCCTGTCCCAACACTTAAACAGGCATCCCAAGCCAGCCCGCCCATTGTACAGCGCTGTTGACTAGCCCCATTAACACACTAACGCGCATATAGACCCTGACACAAACACAAAACAGGAGAAAGAGAGGCCTTACCCCCCCAAACAGAGGTTATGTTTGATACTGAAGCAACAGGCTCAGATTAGCAACACTATACATAACAATGTGAGGGTGGGCGGAGTGTGCAGGGCTCATGTGTGTATGTGTCCATCCGTGTGTGTACAGGGGGAAAGTGCTCCCATTGTGACATCACTTCTTGCCCTCTGCAAGGTTAAACGCACTGCAATGGTTGGCACACAGACTCCTCAGCTCTTCTGTGCCCTTTTGTGGGCTAAAAAACAAAGAGTCTGGTCAAGGGTGTAAATCACAAAAGCTGAAAGAGGACGGGAAGAAGGATGAACATGAACCATTCGAGAAGGACCAGGGCAAAGAGCAGAGGACCAGGACGGTTTCATAATCTTGAACCCCACAGACAATAAGAAAATCAGATATAACAATTTTAACTATTTGAATACACATTTTATAAGTAGATATCATGAATTAAGGAGAAAACGAAAGTAAATAGTTTTAAAATTAAGCACTCTGAATTCAAATAAATCAATATAGACCATTTAAAGATTAAGGCTTCACACAATTCAGTGTACATTTCCCTTGGAAATGAGTCAGCTCCTAATATGGGGAGTAATAGCTTCACATGTTGCAAAATACGGTATATATCTTCTAATAGAGGTTTATTTTTGAATTGGTGTAAAGTGGTGAGAGCAAAGTGATGCAAAGTGGGTCAGTGTTGGCTATTGAAAAGTTTGAGTGTTGTGTTAAAGACTAAACATGGAGGCACTCAAACTTCAAAAGGGCATTTAGAATGATTTACTCTAAGAATTGTTGGTCAAAACCCACAAAAGAAGCAGGATGCCACAACATGGGGAATTTAAAGATTATCTGTAAAAATTTGACAATTCAACACCAGCTCTGACCAGTGCAGGCTGTTGTTGTGGCCTTGAACAAGACACTGCACCCATCTTGTCTTGTGTCTGAGCGTAGTGTGAGAGACAGTGGTAGGTGATGATCGTGGTGTTAACTGATGAATTCCCAGGGCAGCTGTGGCTACAGGACATACAGTATCTTATCACATTGAGTAAGAGAAGTGGTTGAATAATGCATAATATTGTAAAGCAAATTTGAGTATAGTACTAAATAAGATTGCATTATAAATATAAATATATTTTGGAAAAACGACTAGAGATGAGTTCATGAGATGAGGTCATTATTTGAATGGGTGAGCAATACTAATCCATTTCAAAATACAAGCGTTCTTGTACAGCTAAGTTATAGATTATAGATTTTATATTGGCAAAATAGGGCATTGTGTCATCACATGGTTCTCCCTGTTGAACCTGTCAGCTTGGCCATCAAATACCTCTTACCCATCTGCCCCCCTTTACAGTATGCAGCTCCAGCCAGTGCCACTTCCACAATTTCTACTTAGCCTCGTCGACTTCATGCTGGCAGCCAGGGCAGGGCAGGTGGCCAAACCTGTCAGTCATGACACCCTTGCCACATGGCAACATCACAGACACCAATTACCACACAGCAGGGGCGCGGCCTGGTAACCGCATGGCAACCGCATGGT